GATCGTCTTCGAAGGACTATATTTGTGGCATCTTCTTCCGAAACAATAGTAAACTTACGTCACTTGAACTTTCGATTTATTTCGACGAAGAAAAGAATAAATGAGAGTTAACTTTTTCTTTTGTTTTGATGGTTAGAATTATCTGCACAATTTCAATAAGTTATTTCTCAGATATTATAATCAAACTTAAATTTAATCGAGTATTGAGATTTTAGATGTAGGATTCTCTGCCTCATTTTAATGACCTCATCTTGACTTCCTATATTGCTTCTCCTAGAGTGTCCTAGATCATAAAGAGGGTTTCCAATTTCAAAAGATTAGATCTTATATCATCGCATATTTTGAGAGATATCCATGACACAATAATGGAATTATACAACTCTAGGAATGCTCGTTTCAGGAAATCCTTAGTCAAAAGACTCATTTTTAGAATTTTTGTAAAATGCGTATGAAAAATCGATGGTACAATATATTTTTAATCAGGCACTTGTATCAAAAGTCATTAAACTTTTGTAGCTATCATGTATATTAAATGGAACATGTTTTCTATGAATTGGTTGTGACTTACGTACATTAGTTCTTTCAAACGCAAGTGAATGAAAAGATATATATATACAAAAGGAATGTATTAGAGATACTTTCCAACACACCATAATCGTCTCAAATGCGATGATCGAAATTGTTAACACCAACTGTTATATTTGTTCCACACTTGAGAATGACAGAATCTTGCCGGACGCATGATTTTTAGGATGAATGGCCATATTTCAATTTTGACTTTTGCTGTCACCAGCACTGCCTTGACCAAACATTCAGCTTGATAATGTTGTAGGCCACACATATGTGAACGGGTGCCTTAGTGGCATAGCCGATGCGCATGTAATAATTTGCCAAAGCTCGTGGTATGATTGCAAATAAATCCGAAAGTCCATGATTATTTTCGTCACACAAAGTGAGATTTGTACCCCACGAGTAATTGTAACCTGATGGAATGTCCTCTAAACACTCATAGTACGGGTTCATGAGAATACGATCATTTGGTAGTTTGTCTGGTGGTGGCAATGCTTTAGCGAAGTACAGCTCTGGTCGACTTCGAACAATGAAATCGTACTTAATGCCATTCTGTTTTTCTGTCTTTTCGATATGTTCCAAGCAACGCTGCCATTTTGCGTAACCGACGTGGTCATCAACAGCACCAAAATGTTCTCCTGGAGGAACCCATTCAAGTTTGCGAGGAGAAAGGTATTTTAGTGCAGTACTGTAGTCTTCTTGCGAGTGATATTCAATACTGGTTCCGTGGATAAATTCAGAATCCTTTTGAGATTCAAGGACAACAAAGAGATCACCAACTAATATATCTAATACTTGTCGTTTGTAAGTGGTGTAGACTTCTTCTTTGTAAAGCGTTCTAGGAGTACCTGTCATACAATGAGCAATATGTTTTCTTTGAACTTTCGTCACATTAATTGAACGATGACGGCAATCAGGATAACTTTTGGACGGGCGTAATAGAAATATTAACATGATTGTCTGGACAATACAGACTACTTTTAACCAATTTATATGTCTAAAATTATCTTTGAAAAATATCAATATCCTTAGTTCAGATAGTTTGGACCATTTTGCACAATTCGATTGAGCCATTTTCACAACATCTTCATCATTCGATATTATTGTAAACTAAAATAGTACACAAAGAACCATCCCTGTTAATTCGTCTAGTAAAATTCGAAAGATGCGTATGTATAGCAATTTTCAGTCTTAAGATGAATGGACAAGTAATTTCATAAATAGAGAACTAAGAGTGCTAGTTTGATTTCGGTTAAAGAAGAACAAATAAGTTTTATATTTTAAGAGTTTTTTCCAATACACTACAGTTTACTTCGTAAAAGAAAATAAGTAATTTGACTAATATAATAGAAATTTGATTTGAAATAACAATAAAATAAATACAGAATTGATTTTCCTGAGAGCTTTTTGTTAAATATCCTATGGATGTTCGAAGTTGTATATATGTAAATACTTTTTTCTGTCATCCATTGTACGAATAAGATAAGACAATGACACACGAGAAAATAAAAAAACATGAAGGAAAAGAATTACGAAAAAAAATGCATGTACAATGTCGAACATCAATAGTATGTGTAATAACAAGCTCTGAAGAAGATCAATGGTATACTGAAATATTAACATAAATATTTGAATTTGAATTTTCTTCATTTTTTATTATATTAGTTAAATTATTTTTATTGTTTCAAGTAACTTAAAGTTCTTTATCATGAACTACTATATACGAAGAGAACCTCTTAAAACAGTGCTCATTTAACAATCATTACAAAGTGTAATCTATTAGCTGAATACTACTAGTGATGTATTGATCAATTGCATATGAATCATTAGTACTTGCGACTGTTGAATTACGTTTCGTTTTTCGTTCTCCGTTTCAGGCATATAACTTACGAAAAAATAAGCATGTGAGAAATAATTTCAAAAAAGATTCACCTAAAATATGAAGCTATGCAAAAGAACGCTTGTATTGAAATTCTTTTTTGAATTTTTTTCAATCATGTTCTCGCTTAACTGTGCAAAATTGAACAACGCATAACTATTTTTACTTTTATTAGATTTCTTTTTTATTCATGTAGAATGAAGAAACTGGAATTTCATGAATAAAATGAATTCTATTACTAATATAAAGAAATATGATAATCGATCATAAAACTACGATTTAGAATCATCAAAGAAAAAAGTCAGAGATTTATTGTGTTTCAGTTCACGATTGTTATTTCGATATATCGTAATTATCGTCAATATTTTGGTAATTTCAAAGACATGCTAAATTTGATTAAACCTAGTTCTAGTCAAATGTAAACAATTGATTTTGACGTATCTTTGAAAGTTCCTGAACACTACTCTTTTTCGAGAACGTTTACCGAAGTAGTGAATTCAAGGCCAGTGTGTTGCGAGTGCGAGAGTGCGTATAAGGATGTTGTGGACAATATAGCTAAGCATAGCCGTGGGAGACTATGTTGTTTAATGTAAATCTGAAAAAAAAACAATACTTCTCTCAACGAACTAAATACAACAAAAAAATTTATTGCACTCGATGTTGTTGTTGACAGCGTGAAGAATATATATATATAGCTAATTATTTTATCGTTTGTGCCGCATGTTTTAGAGGAAAAAAAGAAGTGGGATTGTTTAGAGGAGAAATTTTATTGAATCAAGAGAAAGCAAAAGAAAATTGTCTTGATTTTGAAGGGCATTTGTTTCTTTTATTGTTAAGTAAATAAGAAATAATGATACTGGGATTTTTCTTCAGCTTTGTAAACAAAAGACAACACTACTTTTGCAAGCGCGAAGTGCGCATGTACATGGAATAGTAAAGAGTGTATTTAGATCGGCTTTATAGTGTTATTGGACTTTGGTCGTGCTTTTATTTTTGAAGCGAAAATCCAAGATAATTTCAGGATACAATTGAGGTTTTGATTAAGAACTTGCCAGAAAGAAAAACAATGATTCATCAAAGGTACTTCCTATTTCTCGTCTATCAACAACAATGTTCGTCTTTAGAGAAATTACTGTTGCAAGATTTACACTTTGTTCTTACTTTTTTTTCGTCTTTTCATTAGCTAAAGTTAAGCCGAAAAAACGATGCTCGAATATCATTGTCATGTGTACTCAGTATGATATTAATACGTTTCACTTGAAATAAACATCCAATAAAATTTGATTTCAAAACCATGTTTAATATTGCCAACAGAATCTTAACTGGAATATGGCATGATCATCTTATGCTAAATAAATTCATTGAATAGTGACATTCAAAAATTTGATACGATCAAATTACATCGATTGTTAATTATACGAACATTTTTATTTGGGTGAGATGCGGTCAGGATAATCATCACTATATGTAGTGTATCGCTTTATTTGTTCATTTGATCTAACAATCCATTTTATATAAGATAATTCTTCTTTAGATTGGTCTTCGATCGCAACAAAAATAGGTGAGTCGGATTGAGCTGATATTTGGCATGATCCATTTAAAATCTATCTTGAAAATGTCGAATCTTTTGAATCGACGTCATATTGAAACTGAAGAATTATCGCTTCTGTTTATGACACAACTCTAATGATCTATTCATGGACAAAGATAATGATGTAAGACCCAAAACACAATGAATCAGCCAGGTGTTACTCATTGTGATGACAAGTCCACAATTGAAGGTGTTATGTCATTGCAGACATTGATTATTCATGTGATCAAAGTCCAATGAATAAATGAATCTATCTGATGAAAGACTCTTCATATTAATGTTGCAATATTTAGATTATTTAAAGCATTGAGTACACCTATATGTCATAGTTACTTGAAAGTTTTTAAATGATCATGACACTGGAAGAGGGCAATGTGTCTTATTGAAAGGTTAGGAAATAGATATCATTTCGAGATTAGAGTGTTAGGATTTATTCATACTCACACTTTAAACATGCATGGCTACACTATCGTTCTGGTTTTATATGTTCGATGCTTCTGTGATTTTTCTTCGTTTCTATATTTTGAAATACAACATTCAATCGATTCGTGTAGAAAATTACAGAACACGTTTCTGCAAAAAGACCAGCCAAGTTTAGAAGATAATTAACAGTTGAAATAGGGTGACGCTCATTTATTTTGAAATATCTGATTCATCCTCAGGAAACGTAGAAGCTCGAAGGTTTTTCTATAAATCTTTCGTTTCTCAATATTTTATAATTGTATTATTTATATTAGTTTTCAACACGACACGATTTCGGATTTTTGACAACTTCAAAATAGTCGTTTTGTTTCTTCAATGTCTATTTCATTGTCGGAAATGTTCATATTTATCGAGTTGAATGTATTTGTTAATCGTATAACTACATTTGATCTATGAAGAAAAATAAATCTCTTTTTTTATTATTAGTGAAGTTGTTACAAAAAAATAGTAGTGAAGAACAATGCAACATTGGTATTGTCAATTGTCCTCGCATCCAAACCATTGACATTGTAACCATCTGAGGAAATCTAAATCAAGTGGCACCTGCTGCTTGATCCACATAGCTCGTTGTTGACTATCATGATCACCAATCATTTCTCCTGTATTTGGATGAAACAAAACTTCGAATTCACCATGATTTGCTGACATCCATGTTAATGTATCACTCAAAAGTTCATTGAGCAAACAGACACCCCATTGTCCATATGGATGAGGTCCATCAACACCCATTACTGGGTCTCAGACACACATTCGTGTACAATTATCAAATATTCCACTCATAAAACAATTACCTTCACATTTTTTTATGTTAAAATAGTCCATAAATTGTTCTCGAATGGCTAGGGCACGTGCAGTAACATTTTTATTTTCATGGAAGAAATAAGTGTGGACATGCCACGAATAGTAATATAATGGCTCATTTGCTGATGGAAGTCGGCGTAATTGTGGATAAAAATCGTTATTTGATTGTCCAGGTAGAGGAGGAAAAAATAAATCAGGATTGATAGGTGCTGATTAACTAGTTTTGACCGGTATTGCTGAACGATTATTGGCCAAACCATTACCACGATCAGTGATTGTTGATCGACCTTTGGCACGTATGTATGCATCGTGAAGTAAACTATGGCAATGTACCATAGTTAATAATAGTAGCATTAATCCCGCGCTGCGAATCATCCTTTAAACAAAGAAGATCAATTGAAAAAACTCATGTACAGTAAACACTTCTGGTGGCTGTAAACGTGAGAATATTTAATGATGGCATCCATTTACTCTAATTTATACCAAGTTGTGTACAATGGCGAGAGATAGTTAACAATATCGTTGCACTACGTTCAAGAAACTCATGAGAAATTTTGTCAAGACAATGAACATAACTATACAATCTCACTTAACTACTTCGAAGCCTTATCTCTTAAATTCATACTTAATCTAAATAATGTTATTGAAAGAAAAACTAGTCAATTTTCTCTATTACTTGTTGTTGTATATTGTTGTTCTGGCTACGTCGTTGAAATAATTTGATGTGGGTGTGGGTGTGGGTGTGGGTGGGTGGTGTGGGTGTGGGTATGTGACTGGGTGCGGGTGTGGGTGTGGGTGTGGGTGTGGGTGTGTGGGTGTGTGGGTGTGGGTGTGGGTGTGGAGATATCGGCGTGACGTGTAAATTTGCGTTTGGGTATGAGTGTTGTTATTGTTCTTATTACCGCACACCCACACCCACACCCACACCCACACCCACACCCACAC